CACACTTCATATGGAGAATTACCATTAACTGGAATACTGACATTTGAGTTGGCCGGACCTGAAAGGAGATGGGAGGATTTCAGTAGGGAAACCACAGATGAGGGAGAAGAAAGCAAGGAGCTATAGGTACAGGAGTGGGTGCTTTTTAGGGAAAGTTTGGTAAAAAATGTGTGTCATGTATTAGAGCTTAGTATCTTGTCTTCATATGTTCATACGTGAGCATGTGTCTAGATGTGTGAGAGTACGTTTGTAGGTGTAGTTGTGTGTGGAGGTTATGAGCATGCATGTAGTCTGAGTATGTAAAGTGTGTGCTTATGTATAGGTTCAGGAATAGATTCATTGTCTCATGTTGGTGTATGCATGTTTATTAGTAAGACCACGAAGTTTGAGTGCACATGTTACACTGTGAGAGAATGCAGAGTGTGTTTGGTGGAATAAGTGAGAGGCAGAAAGAGATGAAGCAAGGAGAGGCGTAGGAAAAGTTGGTGGGAGCTTCAGTTTCACAGGCAACCCAACAGTTTGATCAGGGCTACCTTCGGAAATTTGACATCCTTGTTGTTGCCTACGGGTTTATTTTTGAGACAGGGTCCTGGCTAGCCTCAAACTTGCTTTGTAGCCAAGGATAATCTCTAGGTTTTATGCAGTGTTGATGATCAAACTAGGCCTTTGTATGTGCTAGGTCACCACTCTACCAACTGAGCTACAGCCTCCCCGCACCGCTGGTTTGGTGTTCATGTATAGTTTGGAGATCTGAAAGCCAACTATGCAGTTATTTTAATTGTATCTTGTAAGAATTTCATAAATAGATTAAATAGGATCAAGCATTCACAGCCATTTGAAAAAAGAGATGCACACATCTATTAACCTAAATTCTTCCAGCCGCTTGCTATCCCTGTGACATCCCTCTGAGCTTATGCAGACATGAAGAGGCAGAGGCATTAACTCGAGACATGCAGCTTCTGGAGATGAAATTATCTCTGCTCTGAGAACATATTGGCTGAACATTTGCAGAGTAATCATTGCCCATTCACAAGGCACTTTCTAGAAGCTGAAGGGCAGTTAGCATCCTCAAAGCACTGTATTTAAATTATATTAATACGAATAGATGAAAAATCCTTACAAAGTTAATTTTTCTTTTCATTTTTCTTTCAGTGAAATCACTTCTCTCCATCAGAGGTCAATTATTTTTCTTTGTCCTCCAAACTTCAGTATATTTGCTGAAAATACCCCAAAGCTCTATCATCAAAATTCAGTTTATTTTGAAGGCAAAAGATTTTTTTCCGTCTTCCCACACAGCCTATTTGGATGAATGGAGGGCTGTTTTTAAGGATGAAAAATATTCATGATAGAGATCTTCAAAAAATCTGCCCCTAACTTTATTTGTTTTACAGGAGGCACGTAGAAATTAAAATGGTAGTAAGAGTGGTGCCTAGACGTGGTAAGAGCTCTGGGAAAGTCAACATTCAGTCTTGTAAGAGCAGAGAGGAGCCCAGAAAGATGGTTCAGCCAATAAATTACCCTGCAAGCATGTGGACCTGGGTCCCATACCCCTTAGGCAAGGAAAAAAGCCAGGTGGTGTGCCCCTGTAATCCCAGTGCCAGGGAAGCAGAGTCACATCTATCCCTGGGCTCACTGACCAACTAGGCTGGCTTGATCGGCTAGTTCCAGGCTAGTGAGAAACTCCATTTCAAAAACCAAGCCTCAGCTGTCCAGAACTACAAGCTCTTGGAAAAGCATATTGATTGGTTGTCCAGTGCCAGACAGCCCTGAAAACATACATACAAGTCACATTATGTGAACCGTATAGGTTACATTTAGGAGTGCATATGCACGGATGCAATAGCAATTAGTAAAAAAAAGAGGCCATGAATTTGAAGGAGAGTGAGGAAGGGCATGTGGAGGGAGGAAAGGGAAGGGAGAAATGTAATTAAATTATAATCTCAAAAAGAAAATAAATGTTCTCATAAGCAAAACAAAACAAGGTAAACAGTACCTGGTAAGCAACATCCAAGATTGACCTCTGACCTGCATTGTTCTGGTCTTTCTATTACCTAGCTCAATAATCACTCTCTAACTGCTCTTGTCGGGCCAACTGTATCCTAACAGGCTAAGCAATATTTCCAGAGATGCATATTGTTTTTTTGTTTGTTTGTTTGGTTTTTTTTGTTGTTTTGTTTGTTTGTTTGTTTGTTTTTTGGTTTTTCGAGACAGGGTTTCTCTGTATTGTTTTGGAGGTTGTCAGTCCAGCCTGGCCTCGAACTCACAGAGATCCGCCTGCCTCTGCCTCCCGAGTGCTGGGATTAAAGGCATGCACCACCACCGCCCGGCCTCAGAGATGCATATTGTTTATATTGAGAACTGGGAAGCTTTGTCTGGAAGGCAGGGAGAGCCTTGGAGCTATAGTGTGATTATCAAGGGTGAATGAATAGAAGTAGGGAGAGAGTGTGGCGGGATAGTAAGTTTGAGTCTCAGAGAGCCAAAAGGAGTAGTTAGCTTCACTGTGTGAGTTAGGGAAAGTTGCACAACCCCTCTGTGTTGAACTATGAAATTGGAGCTATAATGTTCACCATGTAGGATCTGGGTGTGGGGAGGCACATAGACTAAGTGACCACGTTTCCTGGCTACACAGAAGTGATCTTATATAACTGTAGTCTAATGGAATGCCATAGTGGAGATAAGCACAGAGTTTTCCATCTCTGGAGACAGCAAAGATGGCTTTTCAGAGGAGGTGATGTTGGAGTTCTGTCATAAATGCTAACAAGAGAATGTGAGCATCTGCCCAGTGTGTTCTGTGCCTTGCTGGCTTCCCATACTTTTCATGTTTTGTACATTTTTGTCTCATGTAGACCCTACTAAAATCCTCAGTTCTGGTTGTTTTCTGCCTTTTACAAACAGAAAGCGAAGAAGCTCAGAGAGGTTAAGCGACCTTCCCAAAGTTATTCAACTAAAGGATAATGCTGGTCGGAACACTCAAAACTTCTTACCCCCTACACTCTGAGCCTTTGTCTTGCTCACTCCACTACCCAGCCTCTCTTGGAGGTCATGTTTGAGTTATTCAAGACAAATGGAAAGGAAATGCTTGTTAAAATGTGTGTGTTTATACTAATGTATGTATGTGTGTGTGTGTGTGTGTGTGTGAGAGAGAGAGAGAGAGAGAGAGAGCCAGAGGTCAACCTCACACCTTAGGTGTTGTTTCTCAAGATGCTGTCTACCTGGTTTGGGGGTGAAGGGTGTGTGTGTGTGTGTGGGTGGGTGTGGGTGTGTGTCCTAGAATCCTAACCAGCAAGACCCAGGGATCCACTGGTCTTTCCTTCCCCGGAAGTGGAATTACAAGAACAAAACACCATGCTCTACTTTGTCACATGAGTTCTGGGAACTGAGCTCAGGTCTCCATGCTTGTGGTACAACTCATTAACTGTGCCATCTCTCAACAGCAAGGTTTAATGTATGTATAGGTTTGGTATTATTTTGATCACTGTTCCCTCATCTGACTGATAGGAGCGGGAAGGCAGGAGCCTTTCAAGTCTGGTACCAGTACACAGTAGGTACGCAATAAATCATTGCTGAACAAAGAAAGAATTCCACAGACTCTACCTTTCCCCTAGCTTATATCTCACACCATGGATAGATGAGCATGTTTGCTTCACCAAATTAGTCTGCCAACCTCTGTCTAAAAAAGGACGCTATCACCAAAGCTAGATAATTTTGTAATTAGCCACATGGGATGTTTCTTTACAGCCAGCAAAAAATTTCCAGTGCAAATGATGAGGTAATCTCAGAGAGCACAAATTCCTTTTCTCTTCCTCACCCTCATGACCTTCTGGTTCTCTGTGTCTGGATTCTCTTTAAGACCTGAGATTCATTTCTGGTGATGCTCACGTCACCAGAGGTGAGCGGGTCACATCAGCACAGACAAGCCTGCACTCGGCACTTAGCTTCTCCGCTGAGGTGTTTTCCTTGAGGTTGGTATTACAAATAAAGCCCTGACCTGTGGTGTCAGGCAGCTGCTCAGGAGGAGGAAGGAGAGAGCAAGGTGTGGAGGCGGCTTTCTCCTGGTGAGTCTGTGAACAGTGCCAATAAACTGTCAAATAAAATTAAGGTTCAAAACATACAGCCTTCAATTTGATTTCACTAAGATGCCGGCTGTTGCTCAGAGGGAATACAATCGATTCTGTTTTGACAGGTCTTGATGCGTGCTAAGCAGTAACAGTCTCCGCTCTGTGGATTAGTAAAAGTTCACCTTCATTTGCAACTTAAATGGGAAGATATCGGGGTGAAATGATGCTCAATCCTCCTCTCCTGTTTGCTCATTCACTTCACGTTACTCTTCACTTCCCTTCTTATTTCTCAGCATAATTTGGTGCTTCCCTCTTTCGTTTTCCTTCCTCCATACTAACGGCAGTAGGAGCCTGAGGTCCCCCTTATGTGCCAGGCTGTGACATTCGCTGTGTGCACAACTGGGTTCTCCTAACAACACAGGGAGCAGGTGGCATTGCATCATGGGACAGATGAGGAAACAGATGCTCCTGTGATGAAGAGCTTGCACAGCTGAGAAGTGGGAGACACACATTCAAATCTATACCTCGGTGGCCATCGTAGTCCATGCCGTTTCCGTGGCACCCATGGCCCTGAACTCTGGCAGAACTCTGAATCGTTCTGGGAAGCCCCGGAAGTACATGTGTTAGTTATCACTGCCGGATCCACACATTCCATTAGCTTCTAGAGGGATCCAGGATGTGTAGCAGCTGTCCAGTTGTCAGGCCCTCACCATTTTCCTTAGTGCACAAGCAAAGCTTACATCAAGGCGTGTGGCAGTAAAGCCCCCCAGACTGTTGGATGTCCTCTCCCCTGTCTCCTGTGAGAAGGACACTCCTCTCGTGTGGCAGTAAAGCCCCCTAGACTGTTGGATGTCCTCTCCCCTGTCTCCTGTGAGAAGGACACTCCTCTCTGGAAGTCAGTGGTGTATGAAAGCACAGTGTGTCTTTGTGTTTGTGACACAGGTGGGCAAATGGGAGAACCAGACCCTGAGCCTGAGGCACGCCGTGTGGCCGAGGTACAAGTCCTTTTCTGACTGCGAGCCAGATGACAACCACCTGAGCATTGTCACCCTGGAGGAAGCCCCCTTCGTCATCGTAGAAGACATAGACCCGCTGACGGAGACCTGTGTGAGGAACACGGTGCCCTGTCGGAAGTTTGTGAAGATCAAGTGAGTTCCAGGATGCTCCTGGCTGCATGTGTTCCATCCCACCTAAGAGCTTGTGCAACAGTATCCACAGTCCAGTCGGAATATTAAGTACACCCCATGGCTATAATCACATAGATTAGAACACTTTCATGCCTGGAGATGCTCCAAGAAGCATTTGTTTAATTCCAATGTTGATATGGAGTGGGTGTTTTTTATTCATGGGAAAGTGATACTAGCAGATTATAGGAATATTAAGAAACTCTTCAGGGCTATAGAGATGAAATTGGTCAAGGGCTTGTCTTGCAAGCACAAAGACCTGAGTTTGAGCCCCAGAACCAATAATAATAATAATAATAATAATAATAATAATAATAATGATAAGCCAGTCAGCCATGGTGGCACACTAGGTAGGTAGAGACAAATGGGTCGCAAGGATTCACTGGGCAGCCAGCCCAACTTACTTGTTGAGTTCCAAGTAAATGAGAGATCCTGTCTCAAAATGAGGTGTCCCGCTTGGGAATCGTCCAGGTTTGTCTTCTGGCCTCCACATGTGTACACACAGACACACACCCACACTCCCCCTCACATACCACTCACGCGAATAAAAATAAAAAAACACAAGGAAGCAGTCTGTTTAAGGCCATGCAGTGAGTAAACAGGAAAGGTGGGAATCGAACATGGGGCCAACAGGTGGCATCATCTCACACCTGCCCTTCAGTCTTTTCTTCAATTACACTGTTTTCTGACCCCTCCAGGCTCCTTTCTGCAGCATGTTCTTCCTTCTGTCTCTTATGTTTCCCAGATGGGTACTTTCCAAGTTTCAATAAAAAACCGCCTGAGCCCGGGGTGATGCTAGCCTTGCATACAACTTTTAGTTGGGATCCAGTTGGGAGTGGACTGCATTTGTGCCATTTTCTCTTTTATCACATTGAAGAGAAAGCTGATGTAGTAAGTTTAGGGGTCTCCTTCATGTACAAACCTTACGGGGACCCAGATGCATTCATGACCAAGACAAGGATCTTGCAGTCACGTGTTGAAAATGGCTGAATGCACCTCAACCAGTGAAGTAGCAGGGTCGATGAATGCTTTTAGGCCTCGTGACTGGGGCCCACTGGGGATGCGATAGGCCTGTGTGAGCGCATTATAGCGCACAAGGTAAGGGTTAGACAGTTGAAGGCCCCATGGCTGGAAAGAGTTTAGCAAGTTTGATAAACCAAAGGAAACCCGTTAAAGGCTGGAGAGGAGGGAACTGGAAGGCTTGTGGAAGAGAAAGCATGGGAAGGGGGCTCGAGCATAGGGACAGGAGTCTGTGAGCTGAGATTGATCCAGATGAAAGCAGTGTCTTCCACAATCAAAAAGCTTAACCTCAGCAGGAGACCTCTGACCATCACAAACTCTGCCAATCAAGTGGGTCTCCTTGCATTTGCAAATCTACAGGACTTAAGAGTGTAGAGTCAATAGCTGGTAGAAAGCTTGCCTAGTGTGCTAATGAGTCTCTGGGTTCAATCCCTAGAACTACATAAACTGGGTACAGTAGGGCAAGCTTTAGTTCTAGCACTCTAGGAGGGGAGGCTCAGGAGTTCAAGGCTATGCTCAAAAACATACTGAACTTGAAACCAGTCTGGGGTACGTGTGTTTATGTTATGAATAATGTGATATGATTTGATATATACTATAGTCAGTAGCTTCAGAGGCAAAATCAAGTAGATCCAAGTCCCAAGTCACATTTCTATGGAGAAACAAGAACCCAAATAAATTACTCTCTTTAAAAGGATTGACTTTTTCTATTGAAGATTAAAAAGCTTAATACAGTTAAGTTAGTGGTTTGGGTTCCTGCAAGGAGGTGGTAGCTTTCCACTTCCGCCTTTCTATCTGGAAATGCAAGGAGCTTACTGTGCCTGTGTGTCTAGGTAAAATTAAGGTGTTCGATTTAATTTAGAGCAATAGAAATATACCAGGGGCCACTAATACCAACATTAACACACAGGAGAGCAGTTGCTTTTCCAAAGTGAGAGGTTCTGTCCAAGTTTGCACAAAGATTCCAATCAGACAGTGTGAGTGAGAACATTTGTTTTCTTGGTAATTCTCTTACGAGGAAGACCTTTTGTGCCTCACATCTCGTCTCTTAAACAGTGGGCTCTCGAGTAGACTCACAGCTCTTCAGAATCTGAGAAATGACTTCCCATCTGCTCTGCTAAGTGTTGAAGGCATGGAGAGAAAACTGGAAAGACTATTTGCTTTGATCTGTGAGGAGAAATGGTTATTCTGTCAATAAATTCCTCACCTGTCAAATCGTTGAAGGGAAAAGGGGTAGTTCATTTAAAATATATGTATATATATATTATAATATAGAAAACCATTTTACATATTACATATTAAAATATTATATATATGTGTGTATATACATACATATGTGTATATATTATTAGAAGACACTACCCTGAAGCAGATGTCTTGGCCCTTTGGCTCTTACGAACTTTTGCCTTCTCTTCTGCAATGTTTCTTAGGTGTAGGGGTGTGTTATAGATACAGCATTTTGGGCTGGGAATCTATGGTCAGTTGCGACTTTCTGTAATGGGCTCTGTTTGCTACAAAAAAAATACATCTTTCATGAAGGCGAGGCTTACACTTTTGTGTGGCTATAAAGGTAAATATTTAGAATGTGGTAAGAATTATCCTGGTTTAGGAAAGAGACAGCAGTAGTTCTCCTCAGGGTTCCATAGCCTCACCAGCCATAGGTGATTGACTAGATTTACAGTACCAACAATTCTTTTATACTAGAAATGCTTTACATACCTTTTCATGTAACTATCTGCCTTGGCTGTCAAAATTGAAAGAAGGCCTATTTTGGCTCAGGCTTTTAGAAAAGTTTCAGTCCATTAAGACAATATGATGGTTAATGCTATTTGACAGGATCTGTTGTCGCTTAGGAAACATCCTTCTGTGCTTGTCTGTATGGAGGTTGGTGTTGGGTTAATTGAGATGGGAAGGCTCATCCTAAATGTAGAAGGCACCATTCTCTGGCCTGAGGGCCTGCCTTAAATAACAAGGAGATACCAAGCTGAGGGCCAGTATTCCACTCTGTCTCTCTATCTCTATGTCTCTGTCTCTCTGTCTCTGTCTCTGTCTCTGTCTCTGTCTCTGTGTCTCTGCCTTTGTGTCTCTGTCTGTCACTCCTTCTTGACTGTAGATGCAATTAACCAGCAGCTTCACAGTCTTGCTCCCATGCCTTCCTCTCCATGATGGACTGTACCCTCAAACTGTAAGCCCAAATGAACTCCTCCTTTCCTTGTTTCTGTCAGGTATTTTGTCACAATAACTAGAAAGTAATTAATGCAGTGTGGCAGGCATGGTGGTGGGTGTGGCTCCATTCCTGGTGGTTGGAGACTGTCATGGATGTCTTTATATACAGAACACCAAGGAGCAGAGAGTGAACAAGAAGTGAGGCTGGGATCCTCCCCGCAACAACCCACTCTCTCCAGTGAGGCCTCACCTTCCAAAAGTTCCACAACCATCCCAAATCACACTCAGCCTTCACATGTTCTCAGCCATCCTGTAAATTCTCAGGAGTCAGGACACTCATCTGAGTTCCCTGATCTGTGATAGCAAGCCAGCCTAGGCTCTTTCCACAGCACTGATTTGTAGTGCCACTGGCCACACAGGAGAATTGCAAAGCCATCGAACCACGTGTCTTATAGTCTCCCTCCCTTTACATTTGTTTCTATGAATCATCTTTGCTTTGAGGGATGCAGGAGAGCTGAAGAAGCCCAAGCATCATTTCCTAGGTTTTTCTGTGATTAAGCCACACCTCCTTCACACTCTTAAAGGCCAGGAAAGGAGCTATCAGATGTTTGCAGTTATCTGGTACACTGTACTCAGATAGCATAATTAATTTAATTAGTAATTTTGCTTGTCTTTTTCACATTATGTCTTTGGAACCAAGTTGATTACATAAAGGAGGCACTCATCACATGCTTATGGAGTGAACATTCACTGTAGCCATCTATATCTAGAAATAAGCTTTGTGGTCAAGGGATATCATTAGCTCAAAAGCTGCCTGAGGCTTTCAGCAAAGACAGAAAATACCTGTGATCCTGACTCTAAAATAGGGAGCACCTGTAACTTTTGTCTAACATATCCCTGGAATCTTGACCAGACAGAAGAAGAGGTATAACTGTGTGTGGTACAGTTGCCAGGAGATAAAAAGATAGCCTAATCAGGGCACATGTGTCAAAGCTACATAAACAGAAAGGAAAATGGTAGCTGGAACTGCCATTAACTGAATGTACCTAGGCTGTGTTTCTATTGTTTTTCAGTTCACCATGAACCCTCTGTTCTGAGTATTTGGTAGGTGAGAGGCAGGTATTCACTTTCTATAATTTCATAGTATTGACACCACCAGTCAATGTTTGTGAATATACACAGGTGGGGCTTCTAAAAAGAGGGTGGGAGGTCAGGGAAGATCATTTAGATTGTAGGCTAAGATGAGGAAGTCACCATGATGTGTCTGGCAAAAGGAAGCCAGCATTGAGTAGAAGTCTGGGATAGGATCAGGTGTAAAGGTTAAAACAGTGAGTTAAGTGAGGCACCCATGACTTTGAAATACAAAAAACAGATGTAACCCATACCCATCACCACAGTTATATTGCAAACATGTCCACATCCTTGTGTGCAGACACTGATGGATATCTATGAGGCCTGACACATGTGTATCCAATTATATGCAGAATGCATACTCACTAGAACACGTGGGGGAATATCTCAAAAGTACAGGGAAGAAAAAATATTCCACCTTTCCTATTCCATTGTTTTTCTAAATGGCATTTTGCAGAGGTTTGATTTTTATGTAGCTGTGTTTATGTTTGTATTTCTTTGTATCCTACTGTTTCATAAGGCATGTAAACCTTTTTCCATTTTGATCTTGTATTTCTATACACATTATTTTGATGCTTAGTTAAAATTCACTGTGTAGATGTATGTAAATTGGAATTTTCCAAGAGAACAGGTATTTCATGACTGTGGGACTTACCTGCAGGACTGAGCTAATAGGATGCCCATTGATGCGAGGTAGAATTAAGTGTAGGCCAAAAAGGCCTTGATCTTCAGGTAAGGCTTGCTGGGAGAATTTTCCAACTTACTTTCCAAGACCATGGTGCTTCCCCTGGTTGTGAAAGACTTGTATGGATGTCCCTTGGATCTGAGCTGTCAAGTGAGTAAAGCCAGGTGGCTGTAGAGAAGAGTGAGCAGAGCCTGGAGAGGTTACAAGGTCATCTTCAATATGGCAATGCTATATGAATCTTATTTTTGCCTGTGTATGTGTGTGTGTCGTGTATGGGTAGGTGTATGTTCAACTGTGTGGGACACATGTGTATGCATGTGTATATGTTTACTTTTGAGGCCTGAAGTTGATTGACATTGGGTGTCTTTCTCAATTGCTCTGTACTTTATTTATTGAGGCAAGGTCTCTTATTGATCCCAGAATTTACCAGTTACTCATAGCCTAGCTAAGCAGTTTCAGATCTCTGCCTCTTGTGCATAGCAGACAGCTACCATGCCTACCTACCTGGCTTTCTGTGGATGCTGGGATCTGACTTTTGATGCTTCTATTTATGCATCAAGTGTCTGTGCACTGAGCCATCTCCCCAGCCCTTTCTGTGTCTTCCCAGGGTTTTTTCCTGCCCTAAGGTGTTGCCCTTCAAAAGTATCATCTTTGTATTTCATGTTATGCATTTACACAGAAAGAATGATATAACGAACTCTCACTTGACTGGCAGATCTGTTAGAGGTAAAATCCACAGCTCCAGCACAGGAGAAAGCTCAGCTGTCCTGACTCTACAGCATGTTTGTAGGAGCACACACTTCTCCCTTTGGCTCTAAGACTCCATAAGTGTAAAGATGCAGGAAAAAAAACCACTTTCCTCAATCCTTTAAAATTATCTGATCCATATTCCATTAAGTCTTTTGTTCTAAGATCAGTTTAGATCAGATGACAATACTCTGGCCAAAGAGATTTTGTATGTTCAAAACTCTTTAAAAAATAAGTGTTGCTAACTTTCCTCTGGTAATGGGGTGTGATCTATACCAAATTCAGAGAAATGTCATAGAGGTGAAGCTCACAGTTTATATACAGCATTCATCAGAGTGCCTAGTTGATTAGCACCACACAATAAATGCCAGTTGTTACAATTCAGCAGCTTTGGGGCCCACAGATGTAGCTCAGCTTGTAGAGGACTTGCCTAGTATGCAATGATTCGATCTTTTGGCACTGGAGAAGTAGAAATGCGAGAATCAGAAGCTCAAAATTATCCTCATCTGCATAAGGAGTCTGGGGCCAGCCTGGGCTACATGAAACCCTGACTGGCAAAACAAGTTCAGAGGGTAGTTTAGTGGATAAGAGTGCAGGACATGAACGAGCACCCATGTCAGAAGCTGGGTGAGCATGGATATATGTGCCTGTAACATTAGCATCGGGCAGGGGATGGGAAGAATCATACCCTGAGAGATTGTTGGCCAGCCAGCATAGCCAAAATGCACGTGCCTTAGATTCAGTGAGAGACCCTATATCAAGAGAACAAGTGGAGAGTGATTGTGGTATTTTCCTCTGACCGCTGCATACAAGTGCACTAACACACACACACACACACACACACACACACACACACACACACGATTGCACACAAAGACTAAAGAACACTTCCAACTTTTGCTTTTAGAACTCACTTCCCCTTTATGAGCTTCAACATCTCATCCCCAAGCATAAATGTACATATAGCCAAGAGCATCACCTCCCAAGAATAACTTTCTGTGATCCTGGGGTTTTCTCGGCAGCAACTCGACTAATGAAGGGATGAACGTGAAGAAGTGCTGCAAGGGGTTCTGCATCGACATCCTGAAGAAGCTGTCCAGGACTGTGAAGTTCACCTATGACCTCTACCTGGTGACCAATGGGAAGCATGGGAAAAAGGTTAACAATGTGTGGAATGGAATGATAGGTGAAGTAAGTCATCTCTGCTACCTCCAGGCTCTCGTCCCAACAGAGGGCCTCAGGGTCCAGTGGTGCTGGGAAGAGAGGATGAAGGCAATGTTCTTTCTTCCATCCAGGTGGTCTACCAGCGAGCAGTCATGGCCGTGGGCTCACTCACCATCAATGAGGAGCGTTCTGAAGTGGTGGACTTCTCAGTGCCCTTCGTGGAGACAGGAATCAGTGTCATGGTCTCCAGGAGCAATGGCACAGTCTCCCCTTCTGCTTTCCTTGGTATGTGAATTTCCTAGTAATGTTTTCTTCCCTGAAAAAAAAAAACAAACAAACCCATAAGAATCCTGGGTTGTGTAATTACCTGGGTTGGTAAAGAGTTTGCTGAGTAAGCATGAGGATCTAATTTTGTTCCCCAGGTCTCAGGTGGAACATTCCAGAGAATGTTACATTTGAACTCTTCCAAATCACCACCACCCCATCCCCTCAGCTCATATTTTTTTCATTTATCTTCAACATAGGTATTTCTGCTGATAAATAGCATCACATATTTAGATACTGGTCTTGATCATGTAGAATGAAAATTAATATATTGCTAAAACCATGAAAACATTTTGAAAATAAATTAACCTGTCTGTCTGCAGTTATTTTAAATAAGCCTGTAATACCTGTATTCACCATCCACGTACACACCTTCCAGTCCACTAATCATTTATTTACTAGAAGTAATGGAAATTGCCCAGTGATTTATTCCAGTGCAGAAAGAATCTAATGAATATATCCTGTTTTTAGAATTTATAGACTCATATTTTAAGTGTGGCTATCCTTCTTGCCATATAAATTGTAAAATAGGAAATGTTTTCAATTTTCTGCTTAACAATTTCATAAATGTTTTTACATGAAAGATAATCAAGGTGGACTCTTCCTATTGTCCACTCCCCGTGAGCCCAGGACTGAATGTGGGCTTGCATCCTAGTGGGAGTCATAGAAATTTTGTGGCACACAGCCTAGAACAATTAAATTTCTTCTTTAAAGTGACTGTGTTGTTATTATAAATTATTTTCTAGAAGTAATCTTGTTGAACATTATGAAGTTCAGATTATTAACTTTTGCCTGCTATTCCCAAATAAATGAGTTTGTTCATATTTAGGAAAGTAAAGACAGGTGTTTGTCTCAGGAAGAAAGCTCTAGGATTGAGGGAAATGGTTTTATTAAAGTCAACTAAATTTCTTATACTTTTCCAGAGACAGGAAAATATCATTAAGATTATGATTAAGAAAATCACAAGGACTGTAGAAATGACTCTGTGGCTAAGAGCACTTACTGTTCTTGCAGAAGATCTGAGTTCAGTTCCTAACCTCCATGGGCACTTCATGCATTGGTGCACATAGACATACCCAGGCGCAAATATATCCATATTGAATAAAGAAATATGCACATAAATAAATGTTGTTTGAATTACAAACTCAAACTAACTTGTGGACACCCACTTCAGCATCCTTGCTCCCCCTCGCCTTCATTTATGTCCCATCAGCAGCCTGTGTCACTACCAAGCCACATTCTCTTGAGTACAGTATTGACTAACAGGATTTGGGAGACTGTCTTACTCACAGCAGCGTATGGAATACTATTTTCATTTCTGATAATCCAGTTAAGCTGTTGAAATCCTTGCCACTCACTGCATTTGAGTTTGCTCTTGTTCCTTAGGTCTTCACAGCCTTTGTTGGTCTAATAATGAGCTGGAGAAAGACATGCCTTGTTATGCTTTGTCCCTTTGTTTGACACAGATTCTGAGATCTGTATCGTGAGGCAGCCTTATTACACCAGATAAATGCAACTGGCTCCTCCTGCCAGTAATACAGACTCTCAGTCATCATGAGATGGGCTCTCGATTAGCTTCCTTGGTTTATTTTTCCTGCACTGCCCACCAGACTGTTTAACACAAGGCAGCTGCCCTGGGGGTTAAGAAAAGATGGGAGAAGGACTGATTCCATGCAGTAAAGTAGAAAGAAATGAGTGTCTTTTCACAAAATGCCCCATGTCCCTGAACCACAGAGAACTTTTTCCAGTGTAATCAGAAACAAAGGATATCAACTGACTTGTCTTATAAAAATGGGTCGCTGATATTGAATCTGGCCTCAACCCAGTTTCATGAATTTTATTTTCTTTTATATCTTACCTATGTCTGTAGACTATTTCCATAGGAAGTCAATTCTTTTGACAAATTTAACACCCTTCTTCATACTGTCTCTTTAAAAACAAAATAAATGGTGCTGGAGGGAGCTGCTTTCAAAGCTGTGTTCGTGCAGTAAGCTTAGCATTTTTCCTGGTCTCCAGATTGCATGCCTGTCTGATTGACTGCGCACTCCTTATTTACAGACATCATGCGCAGGTTTTGAAAGTCATAATGAGCCGAGATAAGCTACATTTTTCCATTCATGCGCTCAACCATGCGGAGAGCCTAAACACTCAAAATCTGATTGCGTCGCTCTTTCTTATTTCCTTTTCCCTCCTGCATAAACTCCATTAAGTACCTTGGGAAACATCGGTCAGGTAGTGCTGCTGAGCTTTTGTATAAAGGCATAACCAGCAACTCTTCAAGGACAGAGATGACGTCTCTTGTACTATTTCCATCCAGTTAATTCTGAGAGCTTGTGGAGCAGGTTAGATTCATTGATCCATAGAAATGCTAATCTGGAGTCTCCCACACTGATGCTCCTTCATAGATAACCGTTGAATCTGTTTTAAACCATTGGAGGATATAACTTGGAGCAATGTAATATATTTCTGGGTCACTCCTGCTATGGACTGCTTCATTTATATTCTTTTTTATTGTGGTGTGTGTGTGTGTGTGTGTGTGTGTGTGTGTGTGTGTGTGTGTGTGTGTGTGTATGTTCTGTAAGTAGCAGGGCACAAACATGTACTTCATCTATTAAAAGCAGACTACTTGGCCAATAAGATGGCTCAATGGGTACTTACTAGCAAGCCTAACCACTGAGTTCAGTCTCAGGGACCCACAGAGTGGAAAGAAAAATTAATTTCTGCAAGTTATCTATCAACCTCCAAAAATGTTCCATAGCTCTTATGAGTGCATGCCCATATGCACAGGTCCACACATTACATGGATGTGACATACACAAAATAAATAAATGAATAAAATCTCAATTAAATTAAAATCAGACTCCTGAGGCAGTGCCTTTGATTTCTGAGGCATAATCAGAAGCCAAGAGACTAATGATGGCATCTTAAAGTGAGGAAACATTTGGATAGTGACTGGGATCAGTTTTCTGACTAGTATGTGAGTGACTACCAGGTATTCTGTCAAACGAAATCTGCTCTAGGTTTAAAAATTCTGACACATGAACAGAACATGGTAGTGATTACCCTTAAGTTTTATGATATCACCAGGTCCTACAGAGAATGGGAGTTAATTAGTCAGTGTGATTTTATTAACTGAAGGCGATTTTTCAGCATTGGGGATCGCACATCACTCATCATTGCTGGCTGTAATTGTGGGGTCAGTCATTCCATCCACTAGTGTGTGTATACAGCAAATAAGAGGTGGTGCTGAAGGCTTTCCCCGGGAAAGCTCATGTGCTCCTCATGTGTCCTGGCAAGACACACTTTCCCATTAGTACCCTGCTTCCCTACTTGCAGAATCACTTTAACATCTTTATTCTTAATGATTACATACTCTTTTGAGTTCCTAATTATCCGTCTACCCATCTTGCTTCTGGATGCATCTCATTACCAGGTTGCAGTGACTCCTGGAATATAATGTTATTTATTGCTGTAGTTGAAAGCAGTTGTAGCCTCGGTTCCTTGAGTTCATTTTTGTGTAAACAAGGAAGCTATACTGTCACCTGTTGCCCTTTAACATATTCACTCTATTGACCTTGCATCCAAACCCTTTGCTCCAGGCTCTAAGTGACCAAATATCATTATGGTTTAGACACATCACTTCCTTGCTGTACATTAAGATCATCTCTCTAGAATCTGCCTGTGTCTGGGACCCACAGACTCTATTCCTGACCGACATTAGCAACTTCACAAAACTTGTGAAAATAGTATTTACCATAAAGTGACATTGTCACACTTATTATGCTTTACTCTCCAAAGTGTTTACTCCTGGGGAAAATGAGTTTCAGTTGATTTGTGACTGTGGGTGATATCCTCCCCATGATGCAATCAATTGGAGATGCTTTCATTAAGATTTTTTTGATGATTTTTCTAACTCATCTATATCATGCATGATAACACAGCTAATGTTCATAGTCTCAGCCAGGTTAAGTGAAAGTGTTCACTTATATACAGGGTCTCTGGCCTTTCTAGAATGCTGCAAGGCTTAGGACCCTGTGGCCTACACACTGCCTACTTCCCAAGTTACATATAGTGAACTGTTGAGATAACTTGTAAAGGAAGTAACCATCTACCCATTGAAGGCTTCATTACTTCAGCTCTTAATGGTGTCTTATTGAATTATCCCATGAAGGTAATAGCTCTGGATAACTTTCAGTTGCATTTAAGCCCATCGCCCAATCTCAGTAAGACTTGTGGGCCACAGGGGTCTCATCCATAGGAAGCAGATTGTGGTAAATTGTGACCTTCTAATATTCTTGTCAATGCCATAATCTTTTATGACAGGATATAATTTTCCATCTACTTCTGAAATCCCCCATATGTCCTCACAACTAGTATATAAAAATGCAAAGCCACATATTTGTAGAGTCCATATACTACCAATTTGTGTCTGGCTTGTTTCTCCTCAGCTTTGGTTTTCCAGATGGTTCTGTGATTACGTGGGGCCCTGTGGCCTGTTGGTTTGCAGTCTAACATATTCCTTTTCATCTTATCATTCTTTTTTTTTGCTTATATTATCCTTGACCTGGTTTGTTTAATGTCACATTCCCTTCTCTATTTTTACCATCTCACGTACAGTCTTACAAAGTGTCTCAAATCATTTTATAAAGAATGGTTTCACATATAAATAAAAATGGCCAACTTCTTTGCAATGATCAGATTTGATGACAAGAAGTTCCATAAGCTTGCAGGTAGGTGGGTGGGCTTCCTGGTGGGGATGAGGAAAAACTGACTGACTATACATTTGTCCCTTATCTCTTTCCCTGTAGAACCCTTCAGCGCCTCTGTCTGGGTGATGATGTTTGTGATGCTGCTCATCGTCTCTGCCATTGCTGTCTTTGTTTTTGAATACTTCAGTCCTGTTGGATATAACAGAAACTTAGCCAAAGGGAAAGGTAAGGAAGCTTTCATAAGCCTGGTACAACATGAATGCTATTTTTGGGCCTAGGAGAGTGGCTCAGGGTGTAAAGTGCTTGCTGTGCAAGTCTGAGGACCTGAGTTCATATCTCCAACACCCAAGTGAAAATCAGATGCCATGGTGAATGAGCATCCATAGCCCAGCACTGGAGGTAATGGAGCAGAAACAGACAAATTCCAGGGGCTTGCTCACCAGCCAATCTAGCCAGTTGGCGAGCTCTAGATTCAAGGATACACTGTCTCAAAAAATAAGGTGTAAAGCTATAGAGGGAAGATGGTCTACTTTGAACTCAGACTTCCACATGTGCATACATGTGAGTGGTCACATGTGCATGTACCTACATGCACATGTATGCATAACACACATGTTCTGGTCACACTCCTATGCATATATACATAGGTAGACAGACACAGAGAGAGAGATTTGGTTTTAGAGCACTTAACCCCACATTCATAAGAATGATGTTGGCACGTTGATGTGACAAGTATAATCTATTTGCTTGAATTGAAAACAGGGTTTAAGCATGAAACATTTTAGTCTTATCATTTGAAGTCAATAATGGTTAGGTAAAAAATCATTGATATTCAATTTGTTGGGAAAACAGAATTGAAGGGTTTTGGTAACTTATCTTAAAAATGTAGATCAAAAGAAATATTAAAATCACAGCAAGTCTCAAATTCAGTCTATGCAAATAAAATGACCTGATAGATTCCACTTTAAGAACAGTCTTTAAACTAGTGAATCTTATTTGCATTAGTTGGACAGTACATATAACTAACTGTTAAGTAGCGTATTTCCCCAGAGTTAAATTTTCCCCTTGATGGTGTCTGATCATAGTGTGCTGCCCTTGATAAAAGAAGAATTGGTAGATGGAAAGGTGGAATTAAAAGGTATTCTTTGGTTATAACTCACTAAGAGGCTTGCTAAACACATCACATCATTTTGAGTAGATTTCCCTTAATGCACGGCACCTCCAGAAGTGAATATTATCAGAAAGATGCTAGCATCAAATCCCTTTCCCCCAAAGTGACTTGATATTGCAGAGAACTGGAAAACTTGGGACCAGGAATAGAGCTCAGGGCTATATAGTACTTCCCAGCATGTGCAAGGCTCCCACGTTTGGCAGTCCCACTAGGAGAAAGAGAGAGAGAGAGAGAGAGAGAGAGAGAGAGAGAGAGAGAGAGAGAGAGAGAGAGAGAGAGAGAGAGAGAGAGAGAGAGAGAGAAAGAGAGAGAGAAAGAGAGAGAGAGGACTTGATGTCTCAAATATCCCTCCAGAGTAGGACATCCTTTAATTCAACACATGCACATGTAACTTGAAAGATTTAATACTAGAAACAGTAAAGAGGTCATGGGAATTGATTTGGGACATTGTTTCATTAAAATCCATCTACTTTTTAGCTATTGAAAAGCAGTGATACTACATAAGGCATCTCCCAAACCACGAAAAGGCCATACATAACCTTGTGCTTAAGTAAGGGCTGAATTGTGAAGGGCGTGAAGGGGTTTTCACACAGTGGTGAGGTGATTCCTTGTGATGATCACATGAGGGTGAAACATGGCTTCCACCAGCAGAGTTTGCAGTTGTTCATTCACACATTCCATGCATGGATATTTACTGAGTATATTCAGTGTGCCACGCCCCATGTGGGTGTAGGAGACAAGGTGAGTCAGATGGAGCCTTCCTGACTCTCATGGACTTGAGGACTTAAGTGGGGAGACAAGAAGTAATGCCATTACTTAGTCACTATTCAGTTAATTAGACACTAACTAGTCATCACAGATAGTAGGAAGAGCACAAAACCGACTCATGTAATGATGAGGGGTGGGGCACAGCTTTAGATGGGGCACTAAGACAAGGAAGGGAGCCTTCCTGACTCTCATGGACTTGAGGACTTAAGTGGGGAGACAAGAAGTAATGCCATTACTTAGTCACTATTCAGTTAATTAGACACTAACTAGTCATCACAGATAGCAGGAAGAGCACAAAACCGACTCATGTAATGATGAGGGGTGGGGCACAGCTTTAGATGGGGCACTAAGACAAGGAAGGGATTCAGAACCAGCTGACAGCTAAAGGAACGAGTTTAACTGTGAGAAAAACAGAAAAGAGTGTTCAATTAGCAGCAGCCACCAACAGGAAAGTCTGGAGTTAGAGCCCATCCTGACAAGTCAAAGAAACAGTATGAAAGCAACCCTGGTGGCATAGCTCTGTCATTGCAGCTGCCATAGTGACTGGGGCATAAGTACAAGCTCAAGGCCATCCTGGGTTAGAAAGCAAGTTCTGGACTAGTCCGGGGAAGTCATAGCAGACCTTTCAGAAGGGCTGAGGGTACAGCTCAATAGCAGAGCGCTTGCCTAGTGTGTGCAGGGTTCCGGGCTCCCCTCCCAGCAATAGAAACAAACAAAAAGGTGGAAGACATGAAGTTTGGAGGAAGACGTGGTGGGGATTCCCCAGGGGCATTTGAGGTGGGGAGTAAGGGATGGATATGATTAAAATGCATTGTATACATCTATGAAATTTCAAAGATAATGCACCAAAAAAATTAGAGTAGTTTGGACTATGAAGATGGAGACAGAGGGTATACTAGTGAGCCATCAGGGAGAATATAAATGATTTAAAGATCATTTTCTTCAATGGTTCCTTGCTTGGCCAAATTATGCACTGGAAGATTATCATAAGAAAATCATTAAAGAATACTAAACAGTCTGGCATACAACCCTCACCTCTTTCCCACTTGCTTCATGTGCCCTACTCCTATGCATGTGACAGCTCAGGAAATGAGAGCTCCTTGTTTCTCTGCAAAATGTTTCCTGTTACATTTCACTATACTTTATGGACTAAGTTAAACAATGCAGTAACAGTATTCACAAATCAGACAGTCCCCAAAGTGTTGGGGATCCCCCTCTCAGCCATCAGTGTCTGATTCCTAAATGGCTGTCACCCTGGTCAACCCTTTTGTAATTAAGTAACTGATGAAGTTAGTAGATTGATTCAAGAGTCCTGACCTCTTAGGAATAAGTCCAGAAAAATCATAAAAATATGAAAAGAGAACTGGGAGACTGAGAGAGACAATTATAGGGTTAACCACCTTCTCCTTCATGTGTTGAACAGTGGACTCGAGTCTGTTCTCCAGTGGAGTAAGATTCTTCTTTTAGGTCCCTGCCCAGAGCTGCATAACTTCAATCCAACAGAATCCTCTTATGCTATTTTATTTATTGCCCACTCTGCTAGCATTGTCAGCTGAGGTCTCGGCAGATCATTTTGCCATATCTTCATTTACTTAAATGACATAAAAATTAACCTTCTGCTTAAAGAAGGTTTCTCTCTCAGAGTGAAGGCATAAATTGAATTTTTTTTCCTGGTACGGTACGAAGTCTTTAAACCCCTCACTTGAGTGGTTTCCCTGTCCTCTTATGCCCCATCCCAATAAATTCCACATATTGTTCTGCCTCCTAGTTAAGCTTGTCACAAGGGACACTTAAGAAACTGAAAAGGGACACACTGCTGAGAGGATTCAGAGAGCAAGGGAGAGCGATTTGATGTCAGCTCATTCTCTGTGACCTGTAACGAAATGTCTCCATTCTGTGAAGTGTTGGAAGAATTAAGCTCTATTGTTCTGTCTCTGAACGCCTCCATTTGGAAGGATTTTGATTCATATATTGTACATACTTTACATATGAATTTGAACAGGAGCAATTTCCAGGCACAAATGAATTCGAATCCCAAGCATGCTCTTGCCAGACTGAATGACTATTAGGGATAGCCAATAGTGAAGCAACCCCCTTCCCATGTACATGCTTCTGCAGCTTCCTTTACATTTACTTTAAGTGTTTTAATAATTGGAGAATTTCATAAATGCAGATAAAGTGTTTTGATCAAACCTACCCCCATATTCTCTCTCCTTCAAGTTCTCCTTTACATTTTTTAAGGAGTTTGGTTTCCCCAAATGGAAACCAAATCCAAATTTAAAAACATGTCCTAACACTACTTTTCACGGAAACCCCCATTTTGCATAACTATTTTCTTTTTAAGAAACGTGGTGAAATCCAGCTAGATAGAAGTGTGAGGAAATGCTAATTATCTTAAAGCAAAAATGAAGTTGGCTGTGGTGAGGTTATGGGACATTGGAAAAGCATAACTCTATCGTGATTCTTCTACCTCTCTAGTACTGCTGGTGACTTCCATGTACACACACACACACACACACACACACACACACACACGAGTGTGCGCTCTGAAAGAAGGCTATGACTGTTCTTTCTGCCACTTGCAGCTCCCCATGGACCTTCTTTTACAATTGGAAAAGCTATATGGCTCCTCTGGGGCCTGGTATTCAACAACTCTGTGCCCGTCCAGAATCCTAAAGGCACAACCAGCAAGATCATGGTGTCGGTGTGGGCCTTCTTTGCTGTCATTTTCCTGGCCAGTTATACAGCCAACCTGGCTGCCTTCATGATCCAGGAGGAGTTTGTGGACCAAGTGACAGGCCTCAGTGACAAGAAGGTAAGGAGAGCCCTTTCCTTGCTGACTGAGGTTTCATGCTAACTGCCGTTCTCAAAAGGGGTGATTCGGGTATTTAAGGGCTCAGCTGTCTATGCTATAACTCAAAATCAAGAGATTTCTTCTCTAAACTGCATATTTATGAAACAAATCAGAGATGCCATCTTAAATACCACTGGATGGTGTGTAACAGATTCTGGACCCCCAGCTTCCTGTGTGGTGGTTTCTTACATTCATAAGATTCTCTGAAGGATGCTTACACTGTGGCTCTGCAGCTCCAGATCACCCTGCAGCACTGGATGACACTCAGTCTCCTCAGGGATTTGATATTGAGGAGGGTGTGCTGCCTGGACAAGAAGAAACACTGTGAGAAGAGCTATTGATTGGTACCTCTTGCCCTCTGTGAACTCGAAGGGGCGTCTATATGGCATGCCTTGGGCTCCTGGCATATGACATTTTAAAAATCATCCCTAAGCTCCATCCAGAGACAATTATTTCATCAGTTCTTTACTGTACAATCAAGTTGGCCTGGTAGGTGGCACTTCCGACTCTGGAATGAGCACAGAGGTGCCTCTCCCCCTCTGCCTCTTCTTAGATGCTCTTCAACAACCCTACCTCAGTGATCTGGGCTCCATGGCACCTGCTCTCCCTATCCTCTTGTCCTCGCTCCCCATCCTCTCCCCATCCTCCCTCCCCATCTTCTCCCCATCCTCCCTCTCCATCCTCTCCCCATCCTCCCCCCTATCCTCCCTCCCCATCCTCTCCCCATCCTCCCTCCCCATCTTCTCCCCATCTTCCCTCTCAATCCTCTCCCCATCCTCTTTCTGCATTCTCTCCTCATTCTCCTTCCCCATTCTCTCCCCATCATCTCTCCCCATCTCTCCTCATCCTCTCTCCCCATCCTCTCTCCCAATCCATCCTCCCTCCCCGTCCTGCACTGAATCCCACAGAGGGCTGTGGAGTTTGACTGACTATTCAGAAACTTGTGCGGAGGATGAAGAAAGGTAAAGTGGGTTCATTCTCCTATTGAAATTTTAGCTCAGGAAACAAATCCCGACTTGCTAAACTCGGCAGTGCTGAGCCTGCAGCGCAGCAGAGATTTTCTGTCTCCTGTGTGAGGATAATTTGTCTCTTTATAAAACCTCCCTGTCTCATCTTGTTGACATAAGTCTGCATCTACCCTCTCGGCATTCATCAACAAACTGCTGAGTAGAAAATCAGTCCGTCAAAAGCCTTCGCAGCTTATCCATACACTTTTGGAGAATGGGGCACACGGTGTCCTAGAAACAGAGACAGCAAGAGGTCAAAGATGGAGTCACCTTCACAAACGTCACTTAGGAGTGCCTGACCTCTCTCAGAGGACTGAAGGCCCCCACGCAGCTGGAGTAGATGCCCTTCCATTCCAACCTCCCCCCAGCAAATTCCCTCCATCTTGTTCATCAAGGCACTCTTCCCTGTTCTCACACATTCCAAGCTCCTGCCCAGCTGGGTGCCTTTGGCTCCCAGTTCCCTGTGTGGACTGTTTTACCCTGTTTTCTCCTGGCTGCTCTTCCTTGAATTTCAGGTTGGAAAGAAAATACCAGCCCCTAGAGAGACCTTTCCTAGCTACTGGGGTGAACTTGGTAAAGTGAGCCAGAGCTCTGGAGAAAACTGCAATTTTAGTAGGAAGAAATAAACAGTGCACAAGCAAACACCAGAGGAAAGGGAAGTGCCAGGCAGGGAAGGGTCTTAAGGGGTTAAGTTGATAAAGACTGAAGTTGTCTCAGGAAAGAAAGGCCTAAGGCCAATCAGTTAGTTTGTCTGTCTGTCTTTTTTTCTTTGTTTTTTTTTTTCAGTAGTGGGGTTGAACCAACAGTCATACATACTCCATATGTGCCCTGCCACTCAGCTGTATCCTTTTACTTTCTGCCTTGAGACAAGGTCTACTACATTTCCTAGGCTGGTTGTGAACTCATTCTGGTATAGACAGGCTTTAAACTTATAATCCTTCTGCCTCAGTTACTTGAGTAGTTGGAATGAGATGTCTGTGCTTCTGGGCTCTGGTAGAAAAGTCTTTTCTAGCACTTTGGGGGTGTTTGGTATCAGTGTTGTTCAAGAACATAAATGCAGGTGTGCTTTGTTAGACACCTGTACTCCTCACTTGAGTTCACTGGAATCTCTCCAGATCTCTATCCTCAGCACCTTTACCTGCTCTTTGTAGGTTTTGCTGATAAAGGCTCATATCAAGGGACTTCGGCACTGCATGGTAGAATTTAGGTCACCTGTAATCAGTGTGCAGAGTATAGCCCAGGTGCTCCCCAACTCTTTAGAAGAACAAATGGAGGCATGTAGACTCTGCAGAGCTGTCCACAGAATCAGAGACGTAGACTTGCTTCTGTTAGACCATCAGACAGGCCCTTGGCCAGCTTCCTGCCCCACTTTAATAGATCTTCTCCTTTTTTAGCTTGCACTGGAGTCTTTCATTTTCATATGAATTTTTGGCTTATGGTTCAGATGGGAGACCCCCATCTGAAGCAAGGGGGCATCCACAGGACCCTGAACTATTGCATCCTGAGACCTAAATATTAGATCTTCATTTCCTTTCCACGAGGACTAGCCACATCATGTGACCTCACCACCTGCTGGTTCTTCTTTTGGAGAAGGTCAAAAGACACTGGAACTGTACTTGTGCCTTTGTCCCAAATAACTTTCTGTTGCCATGACAAAACACTGACCAAAACCAACAGTCATTACCAAGGAAAGACAGGACAGGAGCTGAAGGCAGGAATCTGGAGGCTAGGACTGAAGCAGAGGTTGTGGAGGAGTGTTTCTTAGTGGTTGCTTCTAGGCTTGTGTTCAGTTACCTTATGAACAGAACTACCTGCTCAGGGTAAGTGGGACTCTCCTACATTAATTTGCAATTAAGAAAAGGCCCCTCAGACATTCCTGCAGACAAATCTGATGGAAGAAATTCCTCAAGTGAGAGTCAGTCTTCCTAGGCTTTTCTAGGTTTATGAAAACTATGGCAACTTGACACCCTTTAAGTCTTCTACAGGCGCAAAGTACTGTTCAATGACTACATATATGATAGGCTCAAATATGCAATTCCTAGAGAGGTGACTGGGAGAAGCAGTGGGGAACTCTACCATGAATGGGAGACTTTTTACATGAAACCAGTTGACAAACTGCTTTATGTTCTGCCATGCTTCTTTGGATACATGTGGAAGTCAGAGGTCAATGCCATTGTCTTCCCCAGTCATTCTCCACATAACGCTTTTGAAACAAGGTCTCTTACTAAACCAGGAACTTCCTTTTTGGGGGTAGACTGGCTGGCCAGAAAGCCTCTGAGATCTCTCTATTTTTATCCCCTTTCCTTCCCCTGGTCATAGGGTCGTAGGTATAAGCTGCCATGCTCAACTTTTTTAATGGAAATTGGGGATCCAAACTGAGGTCCTCAAGTTTGTGCAGAACATTTTACTCCAACCCCTTTGTTGCTAGTTTCAAAGACAAAGAGAAAGAAATCCATTGCATTATAATTTGGAGTCTAGGTAATATGAACACTTTTGGAAAAACTAATTTAAAGCACCAATCATGAGGCTGACCTTCTCTGATCTAGAAGTACCCAGTGGCAGATGCTGTATCCCCACGAGACCCAGCTCAGCTTCGTGCTCAAGAGCATCAAACACAAACTGATAGCACTTTCAATTAAATGTTTGATGCAATCCAATAATCAGAACATTTCTGAGTAAATAATCTAAATGCTTCTAGAAGATCACGGGCAGCTACGTTAGGGAAGTTTGCAAAATGTAAATCTGTCCTGAGTCAATTTGTTTTAGTGCTATACACAGGGGTTGCTTTTGCTTTGTTGTGTGTTAATTGTGAATGCCTATGTGACCGGTTGGGTTTGAGAGTCTTTTAACTATTGCTTGTTGTGAAAGAAACAAGTTTGAGGTTCACGGTGTGCTCAGCCGATTCTGGGCTTACAGAGCAAGCAGGTAAATCTATACGAGAAGCTTCCAGAGACTATAAAGGGAAGTTGGACCCTCTCCAAATTATTGGCAATCACTGACAGAGAAAACCCATCTCTGAGAGGAAAGAGGACCTGGGCTGGGGTCAAACTCAATCCTGGCCTCTGATGTCAAGGCTTCCCATATCTCAGTATCCTCAGGCCTTAATTTCTGAACAAATGAAAGTGCTAATTCTGTTTTTGGCAAGTGGCTATAAGGATTAGGGATAATCTCCTTACCATGTGTGGGCTACTACTTATGTGGCATTTCCGCCTTCCCACTTCCTCTTTGCACTGCCTCCTCCTTCCTGTCCTTCCTCCTCCCACTTCTTTTCATTGTCATAATTACCACCTTGTTCCAACTATTCCACTTCTGGAGACTGGGAAGTTATTGTATGGAATTGGAACCCTGCAACCACCCATGCAGGGATTTAAGGGCTTGCCATGTAGGGGAGCTGTGTGTTCCTTCTCAGAGTCATGATGCCTTGGGGTGGGGAGATGTCACAGTCTAGGCAGGGAGGTCTCTGATCCAATCTCTTTTCTTTGCTGAAGACCAAGTCTGTTTGTTCTCCCATCAAGAGTCATGTGGTATGTGCTACAGAGATAGCTAAGCCTTTAAAGGGCTTGTCTTGAAGTGCATGGGGACCTGAATTTAATCCTCAGAACCCATGTCAAAAAGGCCAGGTGTAGTGGTACATGCTTGTTATCCCAGTGCTGGGGAGGGGACATCTGGTTGGTCCTTGGGTCTCATTGGCCAGGGGAGTTCCAGGCTAGTGGAGAGTCTGTCTCAAAAAAGGTGGTTGGGCCCTGAGGAACCATGCTGGACGTTACCTTCTGACCTCAACTACAATCACATACTTGTGCACCTGTACATACATGATTTACTCTCTGAAAACCATGCTAGGACGGGAGGCTCCTATTACTAGATACTTCCAATTTGTAGATATGTGAGGCTTATCTTCCCCAAGTCTATAGCATTGAGTCCATAAGGATACAGGGTATAGAAGTGTCCTGGTGATTTGCTGAATGTGTTTTGAAAATTGTATTTCTTATCTCTCTCCTCCATCATAAATGAATGCCATAGCTTATTCACTTAGATGACCTTCAAACCTGTCCTCACATTGAATACAGATGAAAGAAAATTAGGAAAAGATTCCATGTTTTCCATGCTGGAAGGAGACTGGCTAAAGCTATGCTGAGTGATGACAGTTACCAAAAACAATACACATGTGATCACTGTGGAACATATGATATGATCTGCATGAAGCATTTGAATTACACACAATTTCAAACATGATATAACTAATTATCAATTTTCAAAGCTATGCACAATGTATAGATAAGAGAAACAGGTTCAGTGGGCTTCATGGACTGTTCCAAACAATCCAGTTCCTAAGTGGGAGATGAGAAGCCTCTAGGAGCTGGGAGGGCATTTCCTGATCTAGACCCCATGATGCCACTGCTCTCTCTATGGTCCTAAGTGGCTCTGGGCCATCCCTTCCTTTCTGCTTGCATGGGGCCTGGCTAGGAGAAAGTCTCTCACCAGAAATCATTCCAGTAGGAAACAAGGGATGTCTACAGTGTAGATCTGGTTGAGAAAGATGAGCCTCACCATGACCCTAACTTTTCAGACTGAGGGTCATGACTCTTGAGTGAGCCATAGAGTTGATGTAAAGGTTTTGAATCTTTAAGCAATGAACTTATCTGTGGATGAAGGGTAGTGATGGCTGCATCAAGTGAGTGTGTTCAGTGAAAGACACACTTAAACTGTTTTAGATGATATGTTCTATGTTAGGTACATTTTATTTCAATTTTAACATACATGAATATACTTTTAAATCCAGAAAAAAGCAGCTTTGAGGCATCAGATTATGCTATGTGTGGAAAGAATGAGAGTCTCTAAGGGGTGTGTGTGTGTGTGTGTGTGTGTGTGTGTGTGTACAGGTAGCAATGAGAAGTGTGTAGTGAATCATTGTTTAAATATTTGACAGCCTTTGATCTGGTGAGGAAGGTTCCTGGGTGTTGGGGCTGACTGAAGGGAGAGGGCTGTTATTGATGTTTGAGGGTATGGGAACCATCACAGAAACTTAGAATGTCTGTCTCTGTGCAAATCAGAGGCAAAGGGGGGAAAGTGTATCTTAGTGCTGCATTTCTGCAACAGCTGAAGAGTGAAGTGGAAGACTTTTAGTCAAACAGACCCTCTCCTGTGTCTCTGGAGATTGTGAATGGCTGTTACAACAACTAGATTTATGGGTGGCACCATGAGTACTGTTCCCCCCAGAGCCTGCAGCTGCTGTACAAGGCAGCCTGTGTCTGTGCTTTCTCTTCTGTTGATGAGCAAGGTTGTTGTGTGGCAGAGCCTTATGCAGCATGCACATTCATACATGGGAAATGCACATATACATGCACATCTAATACACACAGGCACATGTATGAATGCACATTCCTGCAACGCATATACATATAGCTCCTTGCATATACATGCACTTACAAACAAACACACATGTAACATGCACATTCAGGCCCCCCCTCTCTCTCAATGCAAGGCGCACCTGGGCAAGAGGCTGTAGTTTAGACAAAGTATGGCCTCTTCTCCCAGATCCAGTTACAGCTGCCAGTTCTGCAGCAGTGTGACTCATTTAGAGTAAATGATTTTTCAACTGGAACTTTTAATTAATAGTGAAAAGAAGTGTGAGTTCTGGAAGCAAGACTAGAGACTCTGGTTGATGTAACTCTTGCATAAACTTGGACACTTTCTCTGGCAGTTCTTAGTTTTGTGGAAAGCATAAGGTCTGTCAGTTGGAGAGAGATCCCTGCACTGTGACCCAGCATCGGCACAGGTTTTCTGGGCATTCTTACCCTTTCAGGATCTCCAGGTCCTTGTCTATAGTTTATTTATTTTTGAGACAATGTCTTGTTGTGTGGCTAAGGTTGGCTTTGAACTTGTGACCTTCTTGCCTCAGTCTGAGTGCTGTGAAACAGTGTGCAGCAACATGCCCAGCTTTTACACAGGTTACATAATATAAGGCCCAGTTTCCTCATATACAAAATGGAGCTGTAAGATTAGCCTCATATCTGTGAGCTTGCATGACCAACATGTTTAGAAGGTTGGGGAACACTGCCATCCCCATGTAAATCGTAGGAAAACGTCAGTTATTAAAAGTAACTAAACTGACAAAACAAAGGTCATTATGATTATTATCTTCTAGTTTCATAGCTCAGTATGTAGAAAAATGCAGCTTGGGCTATTATTTTGCATACAATGAACAAAAAATACTAAAGCATTAGTTTTTAAAGCCTTCTCCATTGCAGTCATTTGGCAAACGTTTTATTTTTCAGTCTTCATAGTGACCCTACAAGGGAATTACTGATGTGGTCCCTACTGCAGGGCCCCTGCTTCTGCTGCCTCTAGGATCAATTGTATTTCTATGATTCAGGCTATCCTGAAAGATGACCTAAGTTCTAACAAAACCTGTAATTGCATGTAATTAATGTTATATTAGTAAAATGTTTTAAATCCATGAACATGGACCTGTAGTCATGGCTCAGGTAACCAAGTGCCTTGCTGGCATGCAGACTTGAGTTTCATCTCCCAGAACTCCATTTGGACTAGATTATTTGGAGAGTTCCAGGTCTCAAAACACTAGAAGGATTTGTCTGGAGGAATGATAGCTAAGGTTGACCTCTACCCTGAACATACAGGCATACATATGAGCACTTGCACACACATGAACACACACACACACACACACACACACACACACACACCTCAAGCAAGCTATGGGCCAGTAGTAAGAACCACAGAGCATAGAAAACTTCCATGCAAACCTGAGTATCCCAGGAAAAAAAGTCAGTGGGAGCTTTGGCTCACAAACTTTTCTTGGGTTCGCCATGAGCCAGGCATTGTGGCTGGCAACTGTTCGGATTCCACAAATCCTGCCTGTGTAAACAACTGAAAGAACGGAGGATGAATGAGTGATAACATACAGCAATTCTCTGGAGATGAGAGCAAGCTATGACTGGTAAAAATCGTAGAAAGGAAAACCTCATTGTAAAACAGGCAACTGAGTTGGAATAAAGTTAACTCTTAACTCCTTCAGCATAATTTGGTGCTGTGTACCTAGCATGATGCCAGTCTCCTTAATGGCATAGGAGAGCTAACTTCAGCAAATATTCAATGAGCAACAGAGCAAGCACTGTGCTCCATTCTGGGGAACAGCATAGAAAACACAAGCCAGATGCTGTCTCCACCTTCCCAGGGCTCGCAGACCCACAGAATACGGGATGGAGCACACGGAAGCCTGAAAAGGATATTCTTACTGTTCTCTACTACTGCATGTTGAGCCTCTGTACTGCACGAATGCTCACTCACTGGTTTCTTCTCTCTCTTCCTTTCACCTTTCCCTCCCCAACTCCCCCTCCAGTTTCAGAGACCTCATGACTATTCCCCGCCTTTCCGATTTGGGACAGTACCCAATGGGAGTACAGAGAGAAATATCCGTAACAACTATCCATATATGCACCAGTACATGACCAAATTCAACCAGAGGGGCGTAGAGGACGCCTTGGTCAGCTTGAAAACGGGGTAAGGACAATGGCTCCTTTTTCTCTGCAGGCATCAGTGCTTAAACTTGACAGCATCAGACTCTGCATGCCTCAGTGCTTATCTGTGAGACTGCCCATTTTCTGGAGAGGTGCTGCAGGCTAGATGGCCACCAGCAGAGGAGTGTTTGTGTTAATCTGATGATATCATAGGCTGCCTGTTCAGAGGAAGCAACTCACAAAGTGTGGAAACTCAAAAAGCCCAGGGGGTTCTGTAAGCTGATAAAGAAGTTGGTTCAACTCTGTGGGATATTTTAGCCAAGTAGAAAGGCCTAAAAAGGTTGAGAGCTTAAAGAAGTAAAACCAGATTTATATTTGATTATTTGTGGAGGGTAGAATACTGGTAACAGCTTGACAGTGCAGTATTGATGAAGACAGCTGGGGATGAGGCTCAGAGGCAAAGTCTGCGTATAGAATGCAGAATCCTAAATTTCATTCTAGACACACTGAGCAAAGTGGTGGAGAAAGGAAAGAGATAAGAACTCAAATCCTTTCCAAAGACACAGTCAGCATTCTAGTCTACCCATTGACATGGTGAAATGGAGCTATATTAGTCAGCTTTCTAGAGGAACAGAACTGATAGAGAGAAAGTGTGTGTGTGTTTGTGTTATGTATATATGTATTTATGTACATACATATATGTACATATGTATATAAAAGGGGGTTTATTAGAATGGCTTATAGGCAGTTGTCTAACTAGTCCAACAATGTCTGTCTACAAGTGGAAGGTCCAAGAATACAGTAGTTGTGCAGTTCATGAGTCTGGATGTCTCATCTGATCTTCAGTATGTGTCTGCCTATATGAGCAAGCAGACAAAGAGGGCAAGCCTCTTTCATCCACATATTCTTTATGTAGGCTGACAGCACACAGTATGGCCCAGATTAATGATGCATCTTTCCACATGAAAAGATCTGGATTAAAAGTAGGTCTTCCCACTTAAAATGATTTAATTAAGAAATAAAACCCTCATAGACATATCCAGCCATTTGGGTTTTAGCTAATTCCAGATGTAGTCAAGTTGACAACCAAGAATAGCTATCACAAATCCACACTTTGTCAACTTGATACACAATCATTTCTCCTTATGTTATGCTTTCATTTTCAAATGAAAATAATAACTGTATCATAATTATATCTAACATAATGTAACTATCGCTTGTACAACTGTAAAAACATTACAAGTTTTAGAATAGATGGCAATATCCCTTGAAAGACATTCTTTTAGTATCTCAAACTCAAATATGATAATCACTGATATTCTCTTAATTGATGTTATATTGCATGATAAATAAATTGAGGAAAGAAAACATAAATATCTGTAGAAACACATTCTTAACAGATTATGGCAGAAGCACTCGTGTCAGTTATAATCCTCATTTCTGTAACTGATCACATTGTTTTAGCTGGTATTTATGACTACTGTCCTAACTCATTCTGTATTGTTCCACCATCAGAAACCACTTTAGAAGAAGGTCTTGGCTCTTTTCCTTGAGGAGTGACCCATAGCTTCATTCCTCATGGGTCTATGCCCTTTGTCATCCTGCCTGGATTAGGCTGCTTAACTGTAATTAGGACATGGTAGCACCAAGGGGCACCCTAAAGAGTCTCCTGCACTCCAGACATAATCTTTCTTACCTCCTTTGTAGAGAAGCAATCCAATTTGCCCATGGTAATCTGGATTAATCACCTCTGCTATCACTGTTACTCCTTTCTTTGCCTGTTGCTTTAAGAGTATCAGAAGCCCAAAGTGACCAGGGGAAGTCTAAGCTTTCAGTTCAATGCAATGTTTGTTATGTCTTCTGGCAGGAATGCTCTCCACTCTGGAACCAAAACTTTTAGGACAGCAGAACTAAATGTCTCAGGAATAGGAGACAGTTTTATCAGTGGGTCACTAAGGGATGATAGTGAATAGAGCTATACCCTTTTCTATTTTCATTTTCAAGAATTCTACCCCATAAGTCTTGAGCCCATGGATCCATCCTAGATATGGGAGAAACATCCTGTGTATTGGACTCTGATTCAAGACATATACTGCCTTTTAGAAAATATTGCTCCAGTCTCCCAGGCTGCTGCCAATTGGCTCTTTAATTCTGTCTTTAAAGGGCCATTTTTATATGTCTGTCAGGTCAGATAGTTCTGAATGGTGGGAAATATGGTAAGACCAGTGCATTCCATGATTGTGGACCCATTGTCATACTTCTCTGGCTGTGAAGTGAGTTCCTTGGTCAGAAGCAAGTTGTATGACACTCTATGGTGGTGGACAAGGCATTCTATAAGTCCAAAGATGGTGGTTTTGTTAGAAACATTGCATTTTGGAAAGGCAAATCCATAACCAGGATAAGTATCTACTCCAGTAAGGAAAAAGTGTATCCTTTCCACAGAGGAAGTGGACTAATATACTCAACCTGCCACCAGATCACTGACTGGCCACCTTTGGGAATGGTGCCATATCTGGGGCTTAGTGTTGGTCTCAGATGTTAGCAGAGCTTAGCAGTAGCTGTAGCCAGGTCAGCCTTGGTGAGTGGAAGTCTGTTGTGGAGCCTATGTATAATCCCCATCTATACCACTATGGCCACTTTGTTCATGGGGTCACTGGGCAATAACAGGGATGGCTGGGAAAAGAAGCTGACTGTCCTTAGTCAGCTATTACTTAATCCTGTTACTTGATTACTGAAGTCTTTCTCTGCTGGATACTTATTGTTGAACATTTACATGGGATACAGGTATCTTCACATCCTTTGCCCATTTGCAGAGAGCTGTCCATATATCCCATTCCCTAGATGTCTTTCTCATCCACTTCCCAATCATTCTTTTCTAAGTCCTGATCATCAAGCCAGTCTATTGGCTCTAGCCCATAAGTCAGTGAACAATTGTACATCTGCCATTTGTCCTTCCAAATAAACTGTATGACCATGTGTGACCATGTGTACTGCCTAAGTTCTGCCCACTTTGAAGATTTCCCTTCATCAGTGTCCTTTAGGGTTGACCCAACAAGGAGTTGTAATGATGCAACTGTCCACTACTGGGTGGTTCCTATATAATATGCAGAACCATCAGTAACCATGCCCTAGTCTTTTCTTCCTCAGTCAACTGATCATAGGGCACACCCCCATGAGGCTACAGAGCCATGCTTGGCAGTAGACATCATGGTAATTGGAGCAGAAACCACAGACATTTGGGCAACTTCTTCATTAAGTTGCTTGTGCCTTTAGGACCTATTTGGGCCCAATCACATACATACCACCTCTATTTGATAATAGATTGTTGTTGTGCATATCCTTCTTTATGACTTTGTGGGTCAGATAACACCCAGCTTATGATAAGCAGCTCAAGTCACATGGTAACTTGATGGCCCATGGTTAAATATTCAGCTTTCTCTAAAACCCAATACCAAGCCAAGAGCTGCCTTTCAAAGGGAGAATAGTTTCTTGGAGATGATGGTAGAGCCTTGTTCCAAAATCCCAAAGGTGTCTTCCATGATTCACCTATAAGGGCCTGCCAAAGCCTCCGAACAGTATCCCTATCTGCCATTGACACTCAGAGTACCGTAGGGTCTGCTGGATCATGTGGTCCAAATGTAGAGCAGCCTGAACAGCAGCATAGATCTGTTGAAGTGCCTTCTTCTGTTCCAGGTTCCACTCAAACCATAATAACCCTCATTTCATAGGTCAGTGAACCAGTGTGAGAATTCCGCCAACTTCTAAGAGTATCTATCCCAGTTATACATTCTGGGACTGGGGACTAGCCACAGGGTGATTTTGGAAACCCACTGGAGCTTCTATGAGTTGGAACTCAGCCCAAACTCCATTAATCACCTGAACTCCTTTAGCCCCTACTTTAACTGGAGGGCCACAATGTTTCTTGGGGTTCTCCCAGAATCTGCACCAATTCAGAACCAGTGTCCAACAGGCCCCAGAAAATCTCATTGTTTCCTTTTCCCCAGTGTACAATTATCCTTGAAAATTCCATAAGTCCCTCTGGGGAAGAGCTGGAAAAAGGCTAACAGTAAAACTTGGGTATTTTATCAAGGTCCTTCCTTAGGAGAACCTGACTATCCCTTTACTCAAGATGTAATGGGTCTGCAAACTGGCTCAAGTCTTGAAATTAATTCATGGGCTGAGATTCTCTAATTCAATGTAGACTTTGAGAATTTTTCCATTATGCAGATCAAACAAAAATGTAGTAGCCTTCTTATCTATTTCATGCCTAGAAACACCATGATTGATTAGCCCAGTGGTTCTCAATCTGGGTTGCAACCCCTTTCCAGAGGTCACCTAAGATTATATGCATGTCATATATTTGCAGTATGATTTATAACAAAATTCCAATTATGAAGTATCAATAAAAATAATTTTATGGTTGGGGGTCATCACAACATGGAACACTGTATTAAGGGGTCACAGCATTGGGAAGGTTGAGAACCACTGGATTAGTCAGTAACAAAGGTCCACACAAGTCATGCCACCGTAAATTGCCTGTGCTGACCATTACAGGTCAGGCCATTATGAACATTGCTTTGTCTATAACGTCTATTATGATAACCACAATCACATTGCCTTCAGTGATTCATTGCTGCTACCTGGTCCCTCTACCTCAGGGCCCAACTAAACTCATTGCATTTAATTCATCCAACTGAGCAGCAGCATCTCTAACCCTAGGGTGTGGCACAAAGAAAAAGGTGATAATAAAACTCTTCAGAGTGCTGGTACCCCTCTCATCATTTTGCATCTTATAGGATTAGCAAAGAGCTGGGCCTTCCCATTGTGGAGAATTGGGTTTTACATAGCATACCCATTCTAGCTTTATAATTTCCCTGAGCCTTAAAATCCCTTCATCAACATAAGTCAAGGGATATCGGGCATCTCCAACTCTTTTTCAACAGACCATCTTTTGACAAATGCTTCAACCCACAATTCAAGAAAACTTTTGACATCTTTTTTAAATGTGAAAACTTCCACATTAACCTAGAATCTCCACACAGT